GATAATTATTAATTAAAAAATGTGACCACAAATTAAAAAATTAAAATGGATAAATTTGTAAATAAAATTAAAAAATTTTAATCCGTTAGCAGTTTGGTACAAAAAGTTACATAAACTAACTTTTTCAATCCGCTAGCGGTTTGGACTCTAACCGCTATCCGTTAGTTTCAAACCGCTAAATAAAAATTTTACCAAACACTTTATTTATAGTGGTTTCGAAATATATAAATTCACCAAACACATATATTTAGCGGTTTAAGTAAAACCGCTAACCGCTACCCCAAAACCGCTATGCCAAACGGGCCCGAAGGTGGATTTCTTACTTGAGTAGGATGACTAGAAGAGAAAGCAACTAATGGATTTTCAATCTCATTTGTTTCAGGTGGAATATCCACAGAAGAGAAATCTTCTGAAACAAGAGTTGTGGTAGTTTGATCATTTGAAAGCTCATCAAGAGACTCTACATCATCACTAGGAAATAACTCAAGGGATGGATTAGTGAAGATAGGAATTTGATGAGAAAGAGACACCTTGAATTCAGAAAGAGAAGCAAACATAGTATGTTCTCAAAAAACGACATAACGAGAGACATGGAGTTTTTGTGATATTGGATCTTAACAATGATAACCTTTATGTTGTATCCCATACCCCAGAAAACAACAAAGTCGAGCTCAAGGCTCTAACTTGTGACATTCATGAGAAGGTAAAAGAATAAAATAAGCACAACCAAAAATTTTAAGAAGATCATAGGCAGGAAGAATACCGTAAAGACACTCATAGGGAGATCTATGTTGTGTGACAGTAGATGGGACTTGATTTATGACATAGATTGCTGTAAGTGCAGCTTCACCCTAAAAACACTCAAGACATGAAGAGGAAATTAGGAGAGCATGAACTAAGTCCAAAATATGACGATGTTTACGCTCAACCTGCCCATTTTGTTGAGAGGTATATAGACAAGATCTTTGTTGTATTGTGCCTTGCTCTTTAAGAAAAGACTGAAATATAGAATCAACATATTCAAGAGCATTATCAGTTCTCAAGACTTTGATAGTTTTAGAGAATTGAGTCTTTATCATATTAGCAAACTCAAAATAAATTTGAGGTAATTCTGACCGTTTCTTCATCAAATATAGCCAAGTGAAGTGCGAATAATTGATGCACTAAAATCACCCTAGCAAGTGTACTAGTCGCTCCAAATAATATAATGATGAATAGAGTGTCGAACCCACGAGGATTGTGTCTAACTAAGTACCAAAATAATTAATCTAAATTTATTTGAACAATCAAATAGGAAGAAACTTTAATTGAAAATAATAAAAAGAAAATAACAAATAAATCTAATCAAGATAGGATGTACTAAGGCATTGATTTCACCATAATCAATCAATATAAATTATGGATTACCGAATTGTTGAGTGTTATTGCATGTGATGGCGGATTTCCCTAAATTAATTAACTAGCTTTCTCAAGTCAAGTTAATCCTTCACTGGTTTGTTAAATTAATCATATCTCTATGTAATTTTAAACAAACTAATGAGCATTAGATTCTATGGAAACCTCTAGCTTAAGAAGGGGAGCTACTAACTCTCTTCTCTTCCTCCACTACCACATGTGAGCTAATTACCTTTCGGTGTCATAGTCTAGCACACGGTTTATATTATTATTGGTCTAATCTATGCAATTCTTTCTCAAGTTCATGCATAAATCACTAAATCAATTGAAAGATGATCAGGCTTCCAATGCATTAAGTTCAATAATATAAACTCCTCATGCGAATAATTTTAATTGAAAATATAAAATCACAAAATCCATATTGAATTGATTAGGCTACATCGTAACCCTAGTAGAATAAATCAGTTCATAATAAAAAGAATAAAATATGAAATCAAAGTTATGAACATTCAAATATCAAACAATAAATAAAAACCCAAGGAAAAACAAAACCCAATTTGAGGAAATCGAACTCCTTGATCTTCTATTGTTGATGAAACCTCAATCTTGATCTCCAAGAGTGCCCAAAGAGGGCTGCCACCAGCCTCCCAAAGCTCTCCCTAATTCTGAATTTGGATGGGTATTTATAGGATTTTAGAAACCCTAATTGAAATAGAAGTTAGACTTGGAATAAAAATAGAAAACTGAATTTTAGATGCTGATCGCATGGTGCTGACACTTCGGATTACGTGTTGACACCAAATAGGAAACAGAATCTGATTCTGAACGTTTAGCGCATGGTGTCGACACCCCGATCATGTGTCGACACTACACCCGTATCGGGTTTCTTGCCTTCTTTTGCAATTTCTTCAATGATAAAATAACAGAATTGGTTCCTGACTTCTGAATTCTGCACAAGTTGATCCTCAAGTCTCTGATCTCTTCAATTTACTTCTAAAAAGTATGATTTCTTCCAATTAAATCTTTTCCTACACAAAGAATGGAAACCATGTAAAATCAAACAAAATCCCATAAAACCCATCCAAATATCAATAATATCAAAGTAAAAATTCCCTATTAATATGTATATAAATTTAGCTTATCAATAATCATCAATAAATAACACTAAATATTTTGAACTACCTATTGTAGGAGAGAGATGGCCCCCATATGTCAGAATGTACTAAATCAAAAGGTGCAAGTGAAATGGAATCACTTTTATTAAAAGATAAAGTAGTTTGTTAAGCAACTTGACATGAGATACAATGCAAAGACTCTTCTTTAACAGAACCTCAAATAAATATCCAACTTTACGACCTGTCCCAAGAATCTATCATGTCATTGGATCTTGCACACGACAACCATGAGTAGAAAATGTTAGTTCAAGACCAACTTCACACAGTTGGCCCATAGAAATGAGATTGAAAGTAAGTTTTGGTATTATGAATGTGTTTGATAAGGTAAGGGCAGAAGTAGAAACTTGGCCATATTTGCTAACTTGCATTTTTGAACCATCAACAATATGAATTGGAGGTGCGGTGGTATTAGGGGTTAATGCAGGAAAAAGTGTAAAGTTTGAAGTCATATGATTACAACAACTAGAGTAAAAAAATCCAAAAACTTTACTTGGGATGGTAGGTGAGATAGTAGATGTAGAAGAAGATGATATCATCTATCCAAGAAGGGTTTCTAGATTACTAATCGAAGGATGGATTGAGGTATCTTCATTGGCAACAGCTGCAGCAGCCATAGGCTTGGAAGACTGATTAGGCTTTGATTGGGTCGTCCACTGATCAGATCTCTGAGGTCTAAGTTGGTTCTAAGAGAGCAAGCTAATCCCAAATAGCCTCCATCTTAGTATAAAAACTAGTAATGGACTCTCCATGTTCTTGTTTCAAATTGTGTAACTTTTTCCACAATTGATATTGACTGGATAAATTAAAAGTGGTATGCCTTACTACAAGTAAATCCCACACTTCGTTAGCTGTTTCATACCGTCCAAACTAAAGATGAATGGAAGGAATTGAGGTATTACAAAACCAAGTGATGATCTGATGATTTTTGCTATCCCAGTCCTCCAAATGGTCAACATATTTCTTATCTATCTCATTAGCAACTTTCTGTAATGTCACCAATAATATACCGCCATAATTTTTGACCCTTCAAAAAACTACGCATACTTTGAGCCCAAAGTACATAATTTGAGCCATTGAGCATAGTTGAAATTGGTTGCGAAATATCAAATTTCTCCATAATTAAATAAAAAGAGGATATGTTGTAAAGAAAAGAAAATCTGACCGAGCAGAACACCAAGTGGAAGTGGAACATCGAAAAAGATGGGAGCAATTTCGAATGACAAAGATCTGTGCAGCAAGAATTCCAGACACAAAACAGCAACCACAACAACAATCACAACAGCCAAATCCAAAACTAGTATGCGAGTGGAATACGATGGAAACAAACACCACTGGAATTGTGATTGGAACAAGTGATGCTGGCTGGCACAAAAACGTTGCTGATGTGAAAAATTAAAACCACAAAATCTCAAAGAAATAAAAGAGCTCACTAAGCTCTAATACCATGTGAGAAAACAATGCAAAAGAGAAAAATATGAAGAAAAATCACACTTTTTCTTGATTCATTTGAATAAATAAGGTGCCTATTTATAAACCTGTATATAAGAATATTTTATAATATAAAATCAATTAATTCAGTTATGTCAATAAATTATAATATGAATATAATCATAACAATGTAAACATAATCAAGTGAGAATATTCTATAACACTTCTAATATTTTAGAACAAGAGCAGTCAGAAAAAGAGGATAACCTTAGCCAGGGCCCTCTACATACGCCATACCTCCTGAAACTCGAAGATGACTACAACGTCTCACTGGAAATTTCTTGTAGTTTCGGATTCCTCTTGGAAGAAACTGACATTTTGAAGGGAAAAATGAATTTCATAAAGGAGAAAACCCTAGATCCCTAATTTTAAACTTTCGAGCAGGTTATTTTTGGGGAAATAAATTAGTTTTTAGGTCAACCATTAAAGGATTATATCAGCAAAAAAATAGTGCACATTAGTGCATACCATATCACTAAATTGGGTTCATAAGTATCAAGTCAATAATATATTAACGGTAAATAATTAGATTTCATAGTAAACAAATATTTCATGATGTCATTTGTTAGATTTAGGTTAATTTATTTTAATCAAAAAGTACTTGAGTTGATTTATTTTAATAAAAAATCGAGGTTCAAATATTTCAAAACAAAGTTAGTGGGTTGATTTAAGTATATCAAAAGGTACATGAGTTTAAATACCCTTTTCGCCGTAAGACAACTTTCCACACTCCACTTCGATTTATATTGTGATATCTAAATATCGGTTCCAATTCCAACGGCGCATAGTTTTGGGCATTTGGCCCATGTTTCTGGACGAACAATATATTTAGAATTTTATTTAGTTGGAATGGACTTGGGAGGGGTGAGTCCAGTGAGCCATGTTCGATCGTCTCAAAACATGAATGATGAATCGGATGCCAAGTCGGCCCAGTTGAATTCCTCTAAAAGGTGGCCCAGTACTTTGAGGCCGAGAAATGGCTGTTGAAGGTAAACTGCAATTGCAACGCTATGCATGGAACTCTAGCATTGTGGTGGCTATGGCTGTGGCTCTGTGGTTGCTCTGTTTCTCCAGTTCAAGAACAAGAGCAAAACAAAACATGGCCATGGTTTCCTCACCAAGCAAGCAACCCTTTTGAATTTTCGACAGAATGTTTATCTTTCAGGTATCCTGCTCTTTTCCTACTTCTCAGTCCCCAGAAGCCAACACGCAGACTGCAGAACCCTCTTCTCCAAAGGACGAATAAGCTTTACTATCTTGATGATCCTTTGGAATAGAGTGTGGTTTCTGCATTACTTTCCAGTTTTTGAATTTTTGGGATCTGGGAATTTTGAGTGTTAAGTGGGAAAAATCTAATATCAAGTATAAAAATAAGAAGCTCGTTTTTTTATCCAGAAGGGTCCATAAAAATAATAATAATAATAATAATAATATTATAATAATAATAATAAGCTCGTGCGTTAAATACAAGGAAAGCTTGCAAATTGATTTTAAATTAGATGCAAATCTTGTGTTGAACCTATATGCATAATTTTAATATGGTATCAGAGCCCAAATTCTACCATTGGAAGCCCGTTGTTCACCCACCTAACAGGACCCGAAGTTGAAAATACTTGGCTTACATTTAAGGGAAGATGCTAACCCACATGACAAGACCCGACATTCATAGCAGGTCTGCACGTAAGAGGGCGTGTTAAGTGAAAAAAATCCCATATTGAATATAAAAATAAGAAGCTTGTGGGTTAATTATAAGAGGGCTACTCCACCTATTACCAATTAGTTTTAGGTTAGATGCAAGCCTTGTGTTTGAACAATTCGTCCCACTGGTGCCAAAGTTTATCTTTGTAACAGTGGTAGTTAGGTTCGTAGACATAGTCTTTCAGTGGCTTCGATTCCTACACTGACTTAAATCTTTGACTGTTTTTTTTTTTTTTTTTTTTTTGGTGGATTTTGTTGTTTGATGAAGAAGAAGAATTGATTGAAGAAGAATGGAATTCCATTTCATTGAATTAATTGTTTGATTCAGAAAAATGGCGATGAAAGTTGTGTTGAAGGAGGCAAAGAGAGGGAAAAAGAAGATGAATGAAGAAGATTCGAGGAAGAGGATGCTAAAGGAAGAAGATGAGGGTAAAATTGT